GAATGATTCACCACCTATATATCATTTCATCAGTCGTGGTCCTGTGGTGGTCCCTATCCATTGATGGATTGGGTAGAGGGAGCATTTAAGTTGTGCAGCAACAGATGTGCTACAGTCAGTTATTGTAAGCCTGTGAAGTGCACCTATGTGTTAGGTGTTTCTGATAAAATGGCAACAAGTACCTAATGTGGCATCTCTGTTTCCACAAACAAACGCTTTTTAAGGAAGACTTTTCTCTTTTGGTGTCCTGATGAGTTTGAGGATGTGAGAGTTGTGGTTATAAGCTTGCTGAGTTGGTCTTCTGTCTGTTTCTCATGTGATCTCTGGTTATTCAGTTAATGTGACTCCACTTGGTCCATTTACAGTGCCCTCCACAAATATTGGCACCCATGGAAAACATGAGCAAAACATTTCATTCAAAATATTAACAAAAATCTACCTTTTATTTGAAGTACAGTGAATAAAAAAACCTAGATCTTATCAAGAAATAAATATTTTTTCTCATCTGTGTGTGCCACAGTTGTTGGTACCCCTTCATTTAATACTTTATTCAGCCTCCCTTTGCAAAGATAACAGTCCCCACTCTCCCCTTCAGCTCATCCCACAGGCTTTCTATGGGGTTTAGGTCAGGGGACTGGAGTGGCCATGGTAAAACCTTAATTCTGTGGTCAGTGAGCCATTTTTGTGATGATTTTGAGGTGTGCTTTGGGTCATTGTCCTGCTGGAAGATCCAAACTGTGGTCCTGTTTAAGCTTCCTGGCAGTCAGGTTTTGATTTAATATTTGCTGGTGCTTGGTGGAGTCTGTGATACCTTGTATCCAAATAAACTATCCAGGGCCTTTGGAAGAAGAACAGCCCCACAGTGTCACAGATCCACCACCATACTTCACAGTGGGGATGAGGTACTCTTCTGCATGGCTATCTTTGGTTTTACACTAAATTCTTCCTCTGGTGTTTGTTGCCAAAACCTCTTTTTTGGTTTCATATAACACCATAAAACACTTCCCACTGAAAGTCCAGTAAGATCAAAAGGATAAGTAATTAAAAATATTTCTTTACAACTCATTTTACTCAAAAACAGACTGAACATGACAATTAGTGGCATACAGATAATTAGTCTACCTTAGCAGTCAGTATGACATGACATCATTATACTGATTAAGTACGTTATGATATGCTTTTCCGAGAATACCAGGGAAATTTAACAGTATTTCTAGAACACTGAACAAATGCATTTTTCATTATAAAGAGATTTAGACTGAGCTCCCATGTGATGGGAGCTGTTTAGGGTTTCTTCCTGTTGTTTAGAGTTTGAGAGTCAGATCCTGCATAATAGAGTGCAGAAATGGTTACAGTATGTGAAATTTTAAATTGACTTTTAAAATGTAGCATTTTTTAAAAGGTAGCACTGCTGTTTCATTCTGTCAGTTTCAAACTACCAAACAGAAAACAGAATATTATGTTGTGTATTGTGTGTCATGAAAATGTCATGTACTGTGATTTATTACCCTCTGCTACAGTAGTTCAGGAAGCTGTGGTATCCCCTGGCATGGAGCCCTAAACATGTTATGACAATACGTCACCCACCGCATGCCACCGGCTGTGCAACACTCTCTCATAATGTGATAAATGTAACATCATTTTGAAAAAAGGAAAACAAGAAGTCATGCTTAGAATACTTCAGGCCTCTTTAACTGCATGCCAGTATATGCGATTACTTAAGCTATGTAAATCATCTTCTACAAAACTACTAAAGAACATTTATTAGCGATTTCCAGACTTGTATGTTGCCTGTTGTAGCTGCTGACTAATAAGCTGTCTGCCTTCTATGTGTTTGAAACACATTCCTTTTATTAATGTACTTTACTGATGGTTATAAAGCAAGCAGGAGAATCATAAAAGCTCACGTTCTGTGTAGCTGAGAAAATAAAATCTTGGGAATTTCCTGAATGTATAGACTACCAAAAAAAAAAGTCTGAAAACTGTGTTTCCTGAAGAAAATACAAAGTGATTGAGCAGCTTAAGCAGTTGCCAAACAAATACCCTGACATTTTAGGTGGTTGCTGAAGTGTTGATAACTATTTGTTATGCTGTCCCAGTTGGTTGCTAGGTGGTTGTTATGGTATCCCAAGTGGTTGCTAGGCTGTTGCTAGGTGGCTGCTATGTTATCCCAGATGGTTTCTAGGGGTTTGCAGCGTTGGTTCTGTGGTTCCCCACATGGTTAATATGGTGTTGCTAATGGGGTGAACAAACTTTTTGTCAGATCTGAAGCAAGAGTGGAGCTTTATTTTCTCCTGTCTCACAAAGATGGAAGCTTTAAGGACTATCTGATGGGGACAGTTTTGTGGTCACTTATTTTACAGTATTTTTCACTTATTTCCTTTGACTTTACCCTTCTTTATGCAAGAAGGATTCATAGCTTGTACTTAATGGCCATTTTGACTGGAAATTAAATAGGTAAGGGATGGTCTCTGACTGAATTTCACACAGTTCTGCATAAATATTCTTTTTCTCTTTTTTCAGGTAGTTGAAGCGGCTGTTATTTCTCACATAATGTGTAGACTTGCTTTGATTAGAGATAATATTTTTGTTTTATATATATATATATATATATATATATATATATATATATATATATATATATATATATATACATATACTTCAGAAAGTACCAGCAGAAGCAAAAAATAAAATAAAATAAACATAACCTGGAACTTCATACATTTATTTCATCTTAATATATATAAAGAAGAAATAAATGTATGAAGTTCTAGGTTATGTTTATTTTATTTTTTGCTTCTGCTGGTACTTTCTGAAGTTACATTAAAATAGGCCGGAATCTTGAGGCTTTTTATTTGGATTGAATTTACACCACAAGTTAAGAAGGAAAGAAAACTCTTCCTGTAAGTCTGATTGAAAAAAATTTTGAAGCTTTTTGAAATAATGTTTCAGTAAACAGAGGCTCAGTCTGGTCTTAACCAGATGAGTGTGTAGGCACACAAAGTTTGTGTGTATGTGTGTGTTTGTGCGCGTGTATGTGTATCTGTCTGTCTCTCTGTGTGTAAGCGTATGCATACATGAGTGTGTTCCAGCAGCTAACGCAAGCTTAGCTCTGTGAGCTGCTCTGACCCCTTGTGTGGAAAACAAGCTGATTGCTTCCAGGAAGCTCGCGCCTCCCCAGCACAGCACCTTCCATTACTGCAGCTGTAGCTATTGCTCTCAGCGTCACTATTCATGGAAACCAGGCCCGTAGCGGCTGCTTACTGCTGCTTTCTAAATTTCTCTATTACTCACTCCCGCTCTGTTTCAGTATCTCTTTTGCGCTCGCATTTCTCTTTTGCACATCCAAAGCGCATGTGACTGACCTATTAGCTGCCGTTACATTATTCACCACTGCGCCAAAGAGTGGGCCGTGAGCAGAGCTAGAGCAGACCGCCTGCATTAATTATTCCTGTGGATGGCGGCTGTTTTTTTCTGATGGCCTGGACGCGCACAAGTGATGGGCAACATGCATACGCAAAAATGGTTATTGTGCACGGACAAAACACACACACACACACACACACACACACACACACACACACACACACACACACACACACACATACGGTATCCATGGCATTGAATATTAAAAGTGCAAATTTCTGTGTGGCAGCTGTTTTATAAATGTGCTCATGGTGATTTTACAGCTGTGGTTTATGATAATTAGGATGGGATTAGTTGGCCAACAATAGAATAGAACAGAATGACATGGAATAAAGTAGAGAAGAATAGAATAGAACAGAATTAGATCAGAGTGGAATGGAATAAAATGGAATGGAGTGGAGTAGATTGGAATATAACTAATGAAAGTGAAATGGAGTTGAGAAGAATGGAAGAGAACAGAATAGAATGGAATGTGCTGAGTGGAATGGAGTAGAACAGATTGGAATGGAATTAAATAAACTGGAGTAGAATATAATGAAACAGAGTAGGGAGAAGTAGAATGGAATGAAATGGAACGGAGTAGATCAGAATAGAATGAAATAGAATGGAGTGGCGTGGAATAGAGTATAATAGAATAGAATACAATAGAATACAAAATGACAGAATGTAATGAACGAGAAGGAATGGAGTTTAGCAGAATGGAATAGAATAGAATAGAACAGAGCAGAAAGAAATTGAATGTACTAGAATGGAATGGAGTAGAGTAGAATGGAATATGACAGAATAGAATGGAATACACTGGAATACAAAATGACAGAATGGAACGAAGTGAACGGAGCAGTAGCTGATCTAGTCGAGTGAAGTGGAATAAATTAGAGTGCAGTACAGCGGAGTGGGTGCTGTTATGGTCATTTTTGCCCCCTCACACCCCCCATCATCAGCTGAACTTCTGAACAGTAATACAGTAACTCTCATCCTTCCTCTCCTTCATTTGTTTTGTGTTAATTCACCTCCCATTTCCTCTTCCTCTTGGCTCTTCCGACTGTACGTGACCCCTTTTCCCAAGTGCCTTTTTCATCTTAAGGGTGCACTTGCACACTAACTGTTTGGACATATGTCCATTGTTCTCCGAATAATGTGATCACGTATCCATGTCTGTCTCTGTGGGATCTTTATTGGAACAGCAGAAAGTCGATGCATTTTCATGGAGATTTCTGCCTACAGATTGATTGATTATTAACCATGTTCCATCAATCCGATCTAAACAAATCGACCAAAGAATGAAAAGGTTAGCAACATCTCTTGTCGAGCGATGTCTGATTTTTGTCAGATGAATAACAAGCCTGCTCTTTAGCGTTGGTGGTCAGACAGATAGGATGTTTTTCTGCGTTTGTGGTACCTTGTTGATTTGTATCAGTTGTTTGTAGAACTGCAAGTGCTCACTTTTGCAAGCTCATGCATTTGTTTCCTGCTTATGCCTGTCCATGCTGAATTTAGCTAACTTTGTCAAATCAGTTGAATTCAAGATACTTTGTGCTCATCATCTGTCTCTCTGTCTTTTGTCTCCCTCACAGTAATGGAGGCCATGGCAGTGAGCACATCTGCACAGGGTCCAGATGAGTTTGACCGGAATGCTCCCCGGATCTGTGGCGTCTGTGGGGACAAGGCTACCGGATTTCACTTCAATGCCATGACCTGTGAGGGCTGCAAGGGCTTCTTCAGGTAAAACAAATAAAACACAATTATTGTTTACCACACTTTAAGTACTATGGTATCATGTTATCATAATATGGTCAATATTAAAGTTTTGGGCTCTACTTCATAAATTGAGCAGCTCCTGAGTGGTTCTTTCTGTAAAAGTATACCTCCGTTGGCACTGCAGTAGAGCGGTCACTATCGACTGTATTTTCAGTTGGGAAATCATCTACTGTTTATTTTGACTTTGTTTAATCAAGTAAACGGAGTTTTTAAATATAATGCCAAACAACAAAAACATAACTGAACAGTAACAAACTATACAAAGTCTTTCAAATATTCCAAAATGCTTTACTGGAGAAAGATAAACTGGGCCTTTTAAAAAGATTTTTATTAAAAAAAAAATACACTAGCACTCATAACTTTGTAATCAGTTGCTATATTAACTATTTTATATTTTATTAACTGTTTTTTTATGCAATTACAAATTAGACAGGGTGGATTTAAATATTACAAACTATTCACCATAAGTAATTTTTTATTTAATACACAGTAAACTAAGTATCTATATACATTAATTTTTGTCAAGTCATCTGCTTTGAGATTTGATCTCCGATTTTGAAATCTGATGAATTCTGGATGTTAATTTTGTTGTAACTAAATGCTCAGTGTTCTACAGCATCTTCAGCCATAATATAATCTTCTACAGCTCCGTTCACCATTCTGTACACAACTATCATTTTCCTAATTTTTGTTTACAGCTTCATAGTGTCCTACTTGTTATTTGAAACCTATGAAGTTGCACAAGACTCGCATATTGAAATCACTTTACACACTTGTCTGCAAACACATCGGTTTTATATGATTGAAAACAGTGATTTCACACCTTTGAACAGTCTTTCCAAACCTTTAAAGGGCAGTGAAAGGTAAATTTATTTGATGATTAAGTTTAATCGATTACTCATGACAGCCTTACATTCCAGGTTGAAACCCAGCTGTGTCATGTGCCTTCCATGACAGAGTCCCCCCCTCCATGCTTGGTCATATACTCTTACAGTCTAGTGGTTATTCTGTAATGTGGTCTGCACCACATTTAGGCTCTCAAATCCAAACAATTCATTGCATATTTTCAAAAAGGCAGAGTTTCTTAAACTCTCACCGGATTGAATGCTCAACGGGAGAACCAATCTCTGCAGCTTGTTAGGAGTGTCTCTTGTTTTGTAGCAGTCCTGAGACTGTGCCAGCACTTACATAATGCACACTGGACAGCAAGCCATGCACTTATGAATATCATCGTTGTCCTAAGACAACCTCCCAAGCTTCAGGACAGGAAAAAAACTGTAATGTTTAGTGTGTTTTGAGTTCATTTTTAACATCCAGAGTTTTTAGGAGATGCAAAATGGGCTTTGTGATTTTACTTGTTGATTAAAAATTTGGAGAAAGATGAGATCATGTTTTTGTGCTTTTTTAGTAAGCTTTTTGTCTTTTTAAAACTATTTTGAGACAAGCTTTTTTGATACTTGAATAGCTTCAATAAAACAGTCACAGAAACACATCAGAAACATCTGAGATGGGTCAAAAAATAACTTTATTGCTGGAGAACTTATTTGCACACTGCTACCTCAGTATTACATACGCTAGTATTATGATATTGATCAGAAAATGATGTACAGTACTGTGCAAGAAATTCACCCTTCTTTGTACTGTATAGTCAAAACAGCCATTCATACAAGCCGTTAATTGTTCAGAGTTTTATAGATTAGTTTCCAAAACTGGAGTTCAAAAAATTATTAAAAGACATAGAGAGAACAGGACTTCTCTGCAAGACCACCAAAACTGTCACCTTCAGATTAGCATTTCTCAAAACCTCTTAAATCTTCATTGAGATATAAGAGAAAAAAACAAGCTTCATTCTTGCTTCAGATCTGAAGAAACCCACAGATGTTTTACTCCATCCTCCCTCTGAGAGAACTCTCTGAAAGGATATGTAGCTGTCAAGATGCAAAAATTAGACAAAAAAAATAATCTAACAAAGAAGGTTCTGATGTTTTCAGGAAAATGGACTCCCCATAGTCCAGACCTTATCATGAAAAGCTGAAATGCAACCAACTTCTAGGACTGAACTTAGGAAGAAAAATATCGCTGCAGATTTCTTTGAGAACTGAAAGTGAGTCTCCTGAAAATAATGGGAGCTGTAATAAAGGCAAAGTGTGGACAAACTAAATGCTAAAAAAATAATATTATATTTTGTTGTTGAGGCTTCTGTGTAATTATTGTTAAATATTTTTTTTTTTGGGTTTTTTTTTTTGGACACTAAAAATGAAGAACTTGTGTATATAATGGCTGTTTTGACTGGAAATTATATACATGAAAGGTGGTCTCTGACTTTTGCACAGTAGCCCCAGTATAAAAGCAAAAGCAGAGCATTATTGATCAATGCTTACATTACAGTACCAGTTGTATTTTATTTGATTCAGTTTGGCTCTGGCTAAGCAGCTAGCGGCTCCCGATTGCCAATATTGTCCCTTTCAGAGTGCCTCTTTTGGACTAGCATCTGGAGTTGTGTTTACGTACAGGAAGATGGGATGGGGAGAAAAGAAGGGATAAAGGAGGGAAGGAATGAGAAGTATGTCAGGCTGTTTCTCAGACACCATGCTGCTTTCATTACGGTGTGATTTCAGCTCTTGTCTGCTGTGTGATCAGGCTTTCATCCCTCTGAACACGCGGGTTGCAGGGCAGCATTGATAATTGACCCAAATGTTGTCAGTAACGCTGGAAGGAGGGCTATTGACTGCTCCTCAAATTAGTCTCTATGTACGCTGTCTGCTCATGATATTTTTTTGCAATTTTACCTTGACCTTGGATTTGTTTTTTAAATTGGATTCCAAGTATAACATTACTCAGTGTGCTAGCTTGGAATCGCCATCGGGCCGAACATTTTTTGGGTTGAATGGCATGAAAAATAAACCCAGAGACTAGTCAGATCTGCTGTGATTCAGCACCGGCCACACACACATTTAGATGGTGGTGAAAAAGTGAGTCATAATTGCACCAGTTCGTCAGCGTAATGGAATAGTTAGGGTTTTTTTTATTTGCAATTGGATGATAATTCCTTGAAAAATAAATTAAATTTTGTGGAGGCATCAATGCTGAAATGAGGTTATTTGCAGTGGAGAACAGTTAAAATAAGGTTTTTCCCTCGTGGGTGATGAGATGGCCCATTGAGTAAACAGCCTTATTTCAGTTCAATTCCACCATATTTTGGTGATGTGTTGAACAACATATTTTCAACCAGTTATCAATTTATTATCCTCCTTGGAAATTACTTACATTTCCAGACTGCAATCACTGAGGTTTTTAATTAATCTAGACGCTATGTATCTGTTAGACAATCACCATGGGGCACGGAAATTAAAGCAACTGGATATTAATTTTTAAGCAATTACCACTAATAGCTTTGAAGCTGCATTGAATCTCAGAGGTGATGTTTTAAGCTGGTTTTGTTCACTGTGGTTATTACTGACGTAAGCTTTGTGTCTGTTTTCCCTCAGGAATTTTTGTATGAAGTATTTGCCCATGTATCATCTTGTTCCATTTAGTCCCTAAAGACTTACTTGTGGTAATGGGTGTTGAGAGGAGAGTGTAAAATATGCTGTCAGGAACCCTCAGGACTTGGTGAGGCTTCAGAGAAGGCCAAATAATTTCTCTGATATAAAAAAATGTAAGGTTTTAGTTGGAAACAAAAAGGGTCAAATTCTTGATATGCCTGATGGAAGATTATATGCTTAGGTTTGGTATCTAGGTAGATATAGCCAAGCTTGCTCTCCATTGGTTAGGACTTCGGAAGCTGAAATGAAGGCCTAATTTTGTCAAAATCACCAATGACATAATTAGGAGCTGACAATGGAAGCAACCCATTACGTATCGATGCGTGGTACCAATTTTGTGGGGCCGGGGGGGGGTCACTTAAAAGCAAACAGCTTGTTATGTCTGTAAGAATGTAAACCCAAAGCACAATAAAGGACCACAAGTCAGGATTTAAAATTTAAAAAACTTTTAATTTTTTATTACAGACACACCCAAAAAATTAAATTTTAAAAAGAAACAGAAAAAGCAAGTCTTAGACAAACAAGGTCTGAAAGTGAAACTACAAGTGAAGCAGACCTACAGCTGCAGACTATTCTCTCTACACTTCCAGAATGCTTACTTGGAAAAAAAAAAAATCAAATTTATCTGATGTATGATTTCTTATTTATTATATTATAATCAGAACCATTTAAACAAGAGAGTGAATTCTAATGACTTTATAAAAGATCATTGGACAACATTAATCAATATGGTGTCATATTTGTGTCTTGTTGTCCTTTTTTCATGACCATACATGGCTTCACCAAGGCTCCTTCTACTCCTGACACAACAGGGTTTTATCACCTCAACCGCAGCCTTCGGCAGGAACACTCTAAATAGCTTGTTCCTGGAAAAATACAAAATACCAAAACAATGGCGTACATAACAACAAGCTTCAAGGCCTATCAAGCGATCACACACCGCAGAAACAGAAAAAATCTGACCTCCCCAACCCCTGTGTGAGCAAGCCAAAAGGGCAGCAATGGAGAGGAAGACTCCCCAAATCACGTTTAATCGAAAAAACCACGAGAGCCAGGCTCAGAAAGGGACCCCATCCTCTTGTTAAAATGGGTTGTGCCTGTATTGATTAGTAAGTTGATTATTAAGATGATTTCACATTAAAGACAAGAAGACATCTACATATGAATCGATAATGACACAAGATACATGGACGGAGATCTCCAAACACTACCTTCAGTGAGCTTCAGTCAAAAAGTGGGAAAGTGCCAGAATTGCCTGAGCTCTTTACTGAGCGAGTTACTGTAAAACTCATAAGAGGAAAAATACGTTATTCTCTGTTACAAACATCAAATAAAACATTTTTTTACAAGCTTCAAATGTCTGTGCCCAAAAAGAAAGTTGATGTAACTCACCATTAGCTTAGTGCTAATGTACTACTGGAATCCCATAGGGGTGCTAGCAGAAATTAACATTATCACAAAGGTATTTTTGACATTTATCGGCCGAACTGAAAGCCTAGATCTAATAATCACGGTTCACCACTCAAAATATGTGAATTAAACACTAAGTATATCTGTCCTTCTCTGTGTGTGTATGTACATGCGCATGTGTGTGTTGAGTGAGTGTTTGCGCTGTGTAGTTAAACTCTGGGTGTGAATGGGCACAGTATGCCAGGGAGGCGGTGTGTGTTTTCCTAAGCTCTTTCAGAGCCCATTCTGCGTGACTGCACATGAAATAAATGTTTGTGTTTATGACTATTAAAAGGACAGGAGGGTGGGCTCGAGGTGGTTGCGGCTATGAGTGTGTGTGAGAGTAAGTGTGCGCACGCGTGTGTTTTGGGGTGGCCCTGTGTGTGTGTGTCTGTTTTAGGATGGGTGTAGCTGAGTGGCTAAGCCATGTGAGCAACATTTCAGGCCTTTTTAAATAATCTTTCTCCATTGCCAAGCTTCACCCGCCTGTTCCTTGTCACCGCGGCTCTTGGCCTCGACTGGTCCAGAGCAGAGCGAGTTTACAGAGTAAAGGGTTTCAAGTGTGGCATATATTTGGAGTATATTTGATCTGCGTGTCTGAGCTCAATTCAGACAGATCTCCAGGAAAAAAACAACTTTTGCATAACAGCTGTGGGAGGAGTGAACCTTACCGGAATATTTTCAGTTAAGGCATATGATACATTTTCATTATAATATTTGAGTTTTTTGGGGGTTTTTTATCAGCTAATCGAGTTTGAGTAATTGTCACAGCTCTACAATGATATAAGGCACTGTTTAATGAAATTGACAATTGTTTACATTTTTATATGGATAAATAACTGTTAAAGTTATCATCGTGGTTAAATTGATCATAAGAGGGCTGCATGATTCTTAATTAAATGGGAATCAAAATTTTTTGTTTAGAATTGAGATGACTCCATTATCAACACGAGTGAGAAATGCAGCGAGAGTATTTTGTGGGAGCTTATTGTGGCATCCAGCTTGTGGTAAACTTAAAGCTTTGATCTAAATATGTTGTCTTGTTTCAGAACATTCTGCAGCAGTACAAAGCAGGCAGAAAGAACACAACGACTTCCCTCACTAAACATGAATGAGGGCTTAAACATTGTTGATGTTGGGGTTACATCAAGATTAATAAAAACAAAAAAGATGAAGTCTATTATTTTCATTAATAGCCTCATAATAACAATTAGAGTAACGGGAAAGGAAAGCAGGCTGACTTTACATGGTAAGCTTAGCCATTCTATTGTTTTAACAAGAAGTGCTTTATAGGCTGGGAACATACATTTTATTAAACCTATAGCAAAACCTACCAGGCCATACCAATGACTACCACAGGAAGAACAAAGTTAGCTTCCAAGTTTCTGAGCAGAAGCCTGTGTCAAGCATGTTTGTTTTCCCCTGTTCAAGCAGGCTTCTGTGTGGTGTTACCACATTACTTGCCGTGCTGAGTTGAATTAGCTGATACCGATTAAGAGGATCAGCAGGCTGCAAGGTGGGAAAGCGATGTGGGGAAGCAGTGCAGCAAAACAGCGATACTACCTTTTTTCGACAATAGCTAAAGGGCACAACTGTATGATAGTATATCGCACAAGATCTCAGAAGCCAAATCCCACCGCGGTTACTGTTTTATTGTCATGGTCTTGCAGCGGTTCTTGCAGCCCTACTTTGGTCTGTAGAATTGACCCTGTTCTTGAACTGGATTGCACTGATTAACATTTCAAAATCCTGCTTTCAGTACAATTCTTTGCACAGCAACATAACATCGCTGCTTTACACTGTGATTGTACACTGTTTTCCTCCTCTTCTGTACTGAGCTGTCTCTTTTCTCTACACAGGCGCAGTATGAAGCGCAAGGCCAGTTTCACCTGCCCCTTTAATGGCAGCTGCACCATCACCAAAGACAACCGCAGACACTGCCAGGCCTGCCGTCTCAAGCGCTGCGTTGACATCGGGATGATGAAGGAGTGTGAGTCTGTTCTTCATCGTAATTATGGTTTTCACTAAGATAAACCAGGCTGTCATTCAAGTCAACCTGAAATCAAAATGGACCATTTTTATATCTTGTTAGTTCAGGACCCTGGTCATATTAAATACAGTTCCTCATCTTACATCATTTAAAGGACAAAAAAAAAATTTCCTCAGTAAACTTTAAGCAAAATGCAGCGTTGAATCTGTTTGTAACCCAAAAAGTTGATTTTTAAACTTTTTATGTAGTGAATAGCAGTTTTAGTCTTAGAATTGGTAAAAGACAAGTGAAGTTTTCAGGCTTCTGGTTCAGATGGGTATTCATTAATTATTCAGTGGATTGACCTGTTGCGAAGGTAGAAAAGCAGGTTAAAGGATCAAAGGTGTGGTGCTAGAGGCAGTTTGGTGTAAGAGTGAGTCTTCAGAACATTTCCTCAAAGCACAACCATAATCCATAGCAGGGGTCAGAGAGCAGGCAGGCAGAGTCAACGTAGGCACATCCAAAACACAGTTCAAAAACACGCAGGCTGAGGTCAGAATCAAGAGAGACTAGAAAATACAATCCGAGGAGCTAGAAAACCAGAGGGTTCTCTGTATTACCAGGACTAAACCACATGCAAGACTTTGCAAAGCTCGACTGAAAACACAGGACACACATAAATATACACACATAATCATGACAAGACACAGGTCAGAACAGTGTCAACAGGGCGAGGCTAGAGAGGACAAAAGACAGGGATCTGTCTGAGGGATTTTCTGCAAAAATTGTTTTAACATTTGAAAATGTTTGTCAGTGCTGTCAGTAAAGAGGCAGTTATATGTTGAATATCAGCAAAATATTCTGGTCTTTTTACTTTAGTTGATAAATTGTTGATATTTGAAAGGTTTAAAAAAAAAACTATAGCGGAAAAGTTTTTGACAAGAAAAATAATGCAGTTCCACTTAAATTTACTGTCATTGGCAGGGATTGAAATTCAGTATATTCATTGAAGACTGCTGGAATAGTTTGTAACTGTAGATGATACTAAAATAACTGAGAAAGCTGTGTAACGCTGAGAATGAACTTTTGATGACACTCACATACTGAATGTCTCATACGAGACATTGAAAAGCGGCGATCAGATTTTGAGGGAGATAACTTACAAAAAAGTATTCTAAATAATTATTTACAGTGCATTATTTATCCTTCATCTTTTGGTGTTCTCAAAAAACGTATTGATGTAGTATTATCTATATTTTATATCTAATCTATATGTTTAATTGATCTATTTTTTTAATGTTGAAATACTTTGATATAAATCGTTCAAAAATGTTTACTTATACACGTATGAAGGGGTTCAAGTGTTGTATATGCTTTTGTAATCAATTTGCATTTTGCATTAACAAGTTTTTGAAAAAAATAATAGCTGACATATATGGAAAACACATTTTTATTGTTCTAATAAAGGTGGTATAAATTGTAATATAGCATTGATATTTCTTGTATGTGCAAAGACCACTGTTAGCATCGTTAAAAGTGTCTACAGAGAGAGGAGATATTGGTACAGAGAGGGAGAGGATATGAGTACAGAGTGTCGGAGAGATGTGTGTGTGAGTGTGTGTATGTATGTGTGTGTGTGTGTGTGTGTGTGTGTGTGTGTGTATATATATATATATGTGTGTGTAACAACAATGTAGTTATGCATTTATAAGTGTAGCACAATTTCATTTTATCACTTGGAAAATATGCAGAAATTTTATGGAAACATAGCCACTGGCGACAGTAATAATGAGCAGGTGGAGCCTGGCAGGGATCCCATGACAATCATAAGTTTGCATTCATAATTCCCTTACTCCTTTTCTGAAAATGGGGGGTGGGGGGTGACGAGTCTTGTTTGCATGTGTTTAACTCTCTTGTTGACTGCAAACACGCATGCAGCTTCAGATCTGACATCACGTAAAAAAAAGAGTGTGAGAGAGAGAGAGAGAGCGAGAGGAAAAAATGTCCAACAGCGGCTTTTTTTCTCCAGCCTAGTTACACAATAGACCGACCCAGATTTTCATTCACTGGCAGGAGGGGAGCAGCATGGCTTACTAAAGCAGTCACAAGTCTAAAACAACCCCTCCCACCCCCAGCTCTCTTTAAGACAAAACTGATCCGGCTACAGCAGCAAAGGGCCTCTTTGTCTCAGCGCGGCGGTCATTCAGGGACAGGAGGTCAGAGGTAAAAGCTGAGAGCTGTTAAGGTGCAAGAAATGTTTGTGTGACCAAAGGTGACGAAGAATAGAACTGCTCACTGTCTTTGTAATTAAGGCAGAGGTTCTTAATGGGGGTTCTGGAACTTTCTGAACAACCCAAAAGTGTGGAATCTCGAAGGAAACGTCGGAATGTTCTGTTGTGTCCGATTCCTCTGCTGTAGTGAGAAGACTTCTCCAGAGTGCCTGTCGTCATGCTCTGGGCTCTAGGGTGTGCCTACTTTTGAGACTTTGGGTTGGACAAACATTGTGATTTAATTAGCCCTAACTGACTAATTTCCTGAGCTACACTTTTTGGCATTTGTGCTCCTACTATTGTGAAAGTCGGATAGGACTTAAGAAGCTAAACGGCACGTAATTTGAAGATATTGGGGGTGTAAATCTCTGACCTCACAGCAATTTAATCACCATTCTTTAGGAAATGATTCAGTACATCATGAAGTGACATATTTTACCATAATCATATTTTGATATGACTCAGAATTATTTTTAAAAGTACATGAAACAGATATGAGTGGAGAAATTATTTACATTGTGGTTTATAAACAGTAGTAAAATGTGGACAATAAAAACAGTATGCTATTTATTCATTCATTTATTCATTTGTATGAAAATGAGATTTTGATTTTGGCCAAAAAAATGTACTTTATTGAATATTACTATAAAAGATTGGAATCAATTGTGACGTTCCAAAATCAGTGGATGTGTATTTCCACTTTCCGATAGATGCATTTATACACCCCTAAAACTGTACCAAAGAGCACTTTATTATGTATTATTAGTAGTATTTTCTACATGTTGAGGTCTGGACTCTGGGGTGGTCAGTCCATTATTCGGAGAACACCAGCAGCTTTTTTGTTTGATTTGCAGATTTTGTTCTTTTCTATTTCCTTTTCTCAGTGAGGGCTTCTTAACAGCTACTCATAGCCCTGAGTTGTCTTCTCACAGAGGAAGGATGGACAGAAACACCTGTGGATTTTTCAGATCTGAAGCAAGAGCTTGATTTTCTCCTCTCTCTCAAAGATGGAAGCTTTAAGTACTGTTTATCTGATGGTGACAGTTTTGGTGGTGTACCAGGTCTTGCACAGCTGTTAGGAGTCCCATTTTGTGTTGTTTATTTTTTGAACTCCAGATCTGGAAACTCCTGTTTTTCCACCTGTATTCCTTTGACTTGCCCCTTCCTTACGCAAGTGGATTATCCTACATCTAAGATACAAAGTGTCTTGTACTTAATGGCTGTTTTGACTGGAAATGAAATAAATGAAGGGTGGTCTGTGACTTTTGCACAATGCTGTATGTAAATATGGGTTTAAATTCACACGTGTCCTGTTTTTTATTCTGGGTTATTCTGCTGAACTGTTAATCAATGCTGTGTGATTATTTGTCGTAGCTGCCCCAGATCTTTGGAAAGTGACAGGAACCCTCCTCTGACCACTGTTTTCACATTTCCCCCATAAGAGCGAGTTATAATTGAGCTGTACCTACATGAGCACTTCACGAGCGCTGCATGCTTATTTACCTGTGGTCGAGCGTAGTTTTTCTGTTTACCTGCGGTTCAGAGTAGGTTTTCTTTTGCTTTCTCATTAACAGATGCTGTTAGCACCTGTTCAGCACTGGTTCAGCTCAGGCTGTCACAGTCCGAGATTCTCCACAGCTTTACCAAAAACAAAGCTCACCCGAGTTAACCCAAACCAGCCTGTCCAGTATCTTCAGTTCCCTCACGGTAACAAGATACATATCTGTGAGCAGTTGCGGGAAGTGTCTGTTTACGGATCAAGACATAAATAGACAACAGCTTAAGTGTGCCAGCCTCAATTACTCTGAGTTTACGTCTTTGACATGTTTATGGCCACCGCAGTGATTTGGTTTTTAATGTTTAGAAAACAACCAAAACTTTGGTTTACAAAGCAGGCCGTCATGCTCAAATCACATTTGTTTTCCATGTCCGTTTTTTCGCTAACCTATGTTTAGTTACTCAGTCATAATCGTTTGCTGACAGGCACACAAACATGAACCAGAGTGGAAAGGAAAAGATCGGATTCCATGTGTTTAGACTTCAAAGTAACGATCAGACCCTATATCAGATTATACGTGGGGGAAAAAAAAACAGCTTTCACTAGCAGCATTCACTTCAACTAAACAGAGCTTAAGAAGAGCTTACTAAACAGATTTTACCACCTTTCAATTACATTATTTTTGTATGATTCAGAATTATTTTTAAAAGCACTGAAAGAACTGTTTACACTTTTAAACAATGGTTGAATATAGACAATGAAATGTGCCAAGCTTTTGTTTATTTATCTGGATGAAAATGAGCTGATGAATTAAAAAAAAATGATAATTTAATTTCAAAAAACCTTCAAAAAAATGATGGCATACTTTATTTCATATTTTTATAGACAATTAGAATCAATTCTGACGTTTCAAGATCAATGGAGGTAAATTTGCACATTCAGGTTGATGTATTTTCACAAATGCAGAGAACATATATTTAACAGAAAATTACACAGAACCCTCAACAGAAAATAACACACATTCCAGTATTTATTGTGTCCACCTTTTGCCCTTATTACAGCTTCCATTCTTTTTGGGAGACTTGCTCTCAGAAATCTGCAAGGATGTTTTTCCACTCTTCCAAAGTTCAATCTTAGAAGTTGGTTGCATTTTCTGCTTATCACGATCAAAGTGATTCCAAACACATTCAGTGATGTTGAGGTCTGGACTCCTTTGTTCTGAGAACATCAACCATTTTGAAAAATCAAAATTTCCCATTAAGTTAAAAGCAGCAGCTGCATAGCTCTGACCAGTTGGGCAAAAGCAGCTTCCCATTTTCCATATGCAACAGGGGTCTGCCTTAGGGTTGGGTCTTGTCAGCAACTTAACAATACGATATGTATCACAGTATAAGCCTGAAAGATACGAATAATGCATCAATAATGCGGGGGGATCTTCTAAGAAGTATATTATGGTCACTCCAAGGTGCTGGTCAGAACACAAAGAGGCAGAGGAGTGAACTTTCTGCATTTTTAATCGCAAAGACAGCAGCACTGGCAGTAGTCACGAGTATGTATCAGAGATCACATACAGCACACTGTCATCATCAGTTTAGTATTTAACAGCACTGCAACACAAAGCAGCTCTATAAACGTTACCAAAATGCTAATGGAAAAGTGCTTATCACAAAGATGCACTGCTTATCGCAACAGACACACATTGTGGGTGAAGCAGGCTTAACAATGACCTTTACCTGAATTGTTATTGTTTGGCCTGCTTCACCCACAGTGTGTGAGTTTCTTTGTTATTCTTAGTTATTCTTAAGTAAATAGAGATGCAACACTGATCTGCCTCAGGTGGCGCTGTACGAAATTGGTATAGTCTAGCAGCTATAACTACACCTTGGATCCCCCTGAAAAACTTCCACAAATATGTTACGGCATACTGTGATCTGAAAATGTGCCCAGTTTCCCAAGAAATTGGTGGAAAGAGAGAATTGTAAGTCATTTCTCAAACCGTGGACCAAAGAGGAGATGTGTAAGATCTCAGTTAATGTGTGGAAGAGCGCATTACCAAACTAGAAAGAGCATTTCCAAAGAAGAACTGTTGAACCAAACATTTTGTTGCCATTGAAGCTAGCATCAGTGCTGCTATCGTGAGGCAGACAACACTGGAATCCCCTGAATACAAGTTGGTGTTTCACACTCTAACTACAAACTAAACCATGTGTAAAGAGATTTTTCAAGATTAAACCCAAGTGTTTTTTGTTGTGGTGTATTTAAGGTCAACAGACAGGATTAACTGCTCACGATAACAAAAGCATGGTGTAATACAGTTCCCTCCCACTTGTCACTGGGCACACACATGTATGAAACTCTGTTGAAAGTGCAAGAACAAAGATTTCAGTCAATACCATGTTTTTAAGTGTAAAATATTTGATTTTTGGCAATGAAACAAACAGAAAAAAATTGGAAGTGTGGGTGTGAACTTATCGATACAGACTAAAAATCAAATGCAAATGTGGATCATCACTTAATATTATTGTTTAATGTAAAAATGTAACTATTGCTAGTTAAATACTATTGGTTTTCTCTGAAAAAAAAATTAATGCTGTCATGGCCTGTGGTAAACAAGTGTTCCAAACCTGATACCTTTTTCCTCTGAATTATGAGGTTTTATCCCCTAAATGGGAATATTGCTACATGCAGGCTAACTTTGCTGCATAATGGCAGCTTCACCGGAATACCCCACTCAAACCAGCAAGCATTTTCAAATGTATTAATTTGCTATGGCAGTTTTAGCCTGCAGTTTGAGAAGTTGGTGTTGGGATATAATAGTGTTGAAGTTTAGTAGATTTGGGGAAAATGTACACAGGCACAAAAATTTTGTTTACCGCAGGGCCAATACAGACGATTTTCGTAGAGGCATTCATTTTTCTTATAGAGTAATCTGCTTAGACCTGGAATTCCTGACATTAATACGGGCGAGGTGCCGACTACAAAATGATGAAACGACCCCAGAGGTCTATTGATGGATGAAAACGTGAAAAGGGTACAAATCATGAATTCTGTCAAACCGATAAAGCTGAAGAATGCAGTGCTGCACTACATAATAATCCATAACATGACAAATAAGATTAAATGCTAGTTTTAGGCTGGAATGCCCCTTTAAATATGCAATATATATAATATAATTCCATTTGAATAATATAGCTAAATATGAATAGTAGTGTGAATGAACAGCATAAGATAAGGGCTACTATCATTACAGATCAGAAAGAGCAGTGAATGAATGTGTTGTGTGGGATTAGTTCTAGCTCATTCAGTGCCAGACCACTACTGAGGACACACACATACACCCAAACAAACACACACACGCACTCTCTCTCGCTCTCCTTATGGCACAGGGTCATCTCACTGTCTCTGTGGCACAGTTGGCAGGCTGCTCCAGTCTTCCCACGCTGGGAGACGTCTGCTGCCCACACGCACACACATACACACACAAAAACACAGCGTCTCCCAGCAGCGAGGCTGCTCTCAGATCAGATATCTCACACACTCAGCCCTTATCTCATCTTCATTCATCCAGAATCTGATCTAGGATCAGTTACTGTGAGCTGGTACTGGTTACATATTAAAGACCTGACTTGCGAAAAAGCTTAAAACAGCTTTGTGCTAAAACAGTATTCTCTAAATACACTCACTTGCATATTTTAAACATTTGCAGTTTAGCTCAAATGCATATTAGCACCACATGCTGTTGCTGTCATATCTCCAAAATGGAGCATTATAGGAGGGAAAAAAATTCTTAACATTTAACTTCATGTAGCATGTTCTTAAATGTTCTTAACTTAAAGGAATGCGGTTTTATATACCATCACTGTTGGAACAAAACCTTGTAATGAAAGTTTTCCTCGAGTAATTTTGTACGATTTCTTTTGGTCCATAGCACAAAGGGTAACTAGTATCATGCAAAAAAAGGAGATAAAAGGTTTTTGCATGACTATTATTTTGGATCATTTTATATTGGTCCATTCATCATGTTCACACAATATAAAGGACAGCTGGCACATGGTGCAATAAAAAAAATACAAAAACTGAGGTAGAACTTTGATATAACATCAAGTATATAGCCTGGAGAAGATCTACTTTATATCCAAAGCATCACAGTAGCACATTCTACTCAGCATTTTTTTGTACAATGGGAAGTAAAACCACCATTAAAGTGAAGTGAAATCAAAACTGACCTTTTGCACCTTGTTAGTACACGTGCCTTGCCATCTTAAGCAATAATCATCATGCCATATCACAAAATTCTTGTTTTCCCACAATCTTCAGTCTGATTGTAATGACTTGCCCACCTCTAAAATGTCTTCTGAGTTTCGATTACATCATGCACCAGCAGGCCGTGAAACGAAATATTGACCAATAATATCATGTTTCATCTCCCCCTCCCACCACCCTCACCCATCATGAAACGAATAATGCTTAGCTAGCCCAGAGAAGAGGCCTCATGACATCTGATTCACATTGACTTTAAACTGTACATACAGTCTTTTTACATTCACCTAACAAAACAGTGTAAAACAAGTTCTTGGTTGCATTAATCTGTTATGATAAGCCAGAGAACCTCACAACCAAGTGTATATGTGGTGAAGGTGGTGTATTGCATTGCATTGTAGGATTGATGACCTACATAGACATAGATAGGTACAGGTGCATTTATACATTTGTAGCCACAGATAATTCTCAGTCAGTTACTATAATGTGCATGTATATGATAAGTGTTTCTGATAATATGGCCATTGAGTGTAGGTGCAAGATACATGTACCTACTGACAACTTAAGTTTAGACCTTTGTCACTGTTATTGCAGACAATACGGTAACACTTTATTTTGATAGCCCACTATAGATGCTCAGTCTGTCTTTAACATTCAACTAATTAGCCATTAAATGCAACTGAACTTGAAGTGTGATAGATTTTATTAGATGTAACTGTAAATCTAACCCTTTATCTTCAGTACAAATCTACACCTACTGCTAAACTTAACCTCAGTGTTGTTGATAATTAAGTTAATATAATTATTAATAATAAATTAATTATAATTTAAATATCTGTAGATTTTGTTGAGACCATCCAAAGTGTGACTGAGAGTACAAAACAAAGGCGCGTCAGTCACCTTTCAGTAAGGTTTAAGAGCTTGAATGTAATCTGCTTTATGTACACAGTGACAGGGAGAGAAGATAAGGAAGCCTTGGTTGAACAAGAGCCAGACGACGCAAGTCTGCGGTTACTGATGCACTGCAAGGCGCACAGTAGTGAATAACAAATATTTCCTTCCTGTCTCTCTCTATCAGTGTCTGTTCATCTCTGCCTCAGCTCTGCTTTGTCTGTTTATATGTCCATATGTAAAATCTCTCTTTCTCTTTTTTTCTGTAGTTATTCTGACCGACGAGGAGGTGCAAAGGAAGAAGGAGCTAATTCTGAAGCGCAAGGAAGAGGAGGCAGCACGGGAGGCGCAGAAGCCCCGCCTCACCGATGAGCAAACTCAGATCATCAACACGCTGGTGGAGGCGCACCACAAAACCTACGACGACTCCTACTCGGACTTCGCCAGATTCAGAGTCAGTGTGCATTTTGAAAACATGTTTATTCCACAGGCGATTTGCTTGAAAACTCTTAATTCGCATTTTTTTTTTTTATTTTGAATTTATTTATTTTCTTTCTTTAGCTCTGCATTTGGTACATTTTATAGCTCTTAAAGAGATGTAGAGGAGGGACTGTATTTGTTAAACTGCAGAGTGAGTGTTTGTGTAGGAACAGTTTTGGCTAGGAATGTCTCGATCTAGGCTCAGAGCCAATCTAGCCGTATTTTAATGAATCAGAAATTGGCTGTATTAAGCCCAGTCCTGTTCCAGTCCTTTCGATTCTTGCTTTTTTGTGTTTTACTTCTGCCACTGCGGTTAGAGGCGCAGCAACCTGTGACAATGAGTCCTGTTTTGAGAAGCTAACAAAGCGGTGTATACCTGCAGTGTCAGAAACTGGAACATGAAAAGTTGATATGATAATATCTTAGCAATGTGCAACACTGGTGAAAACCAACATGGGCATGTAAAACTTTTTGTTTTTGCTTCTTAATGCAAGTGGCATGCCGCCAGAAATAAGAAAAATACACTCCTGCCTCATTTCTTACTCATGAGTCTCAACTGGGGTTAAACAAAAACTATTGTGGAATTGTTCTTCTTTACTGGCCATGCCGCACGCACTGGTTTTAAAACCACTAGCAGCAACAGTGTGTTTAAAACAGAGAGAAAGGAGCAGGGTGCTGTGAACATGTTACAGGAATATGAACGAACATTGTTTTCACATTATTAAATGGTTATTTCATATTAATAGCCCACATAGAATATAAACGATATCAGTCAGGAGTTTTACACCACAATGCACATATAAAAATGATTTTGCTGCATCATTCAGAAGTAGCTTGTCACTAAATCAACAGATTGGATAATCAGTTTGTACCATAGGCCAACGTTAGACACGTTGTAAAATGAGCATTTAAAAATATAAGTTCAAGCCCAGACTTCTGTTTTTTTCTGTTTGTTTCAATGCCACGAAATGACAGAAACGTGGGAAAAATTTAAAGAATGTGTTTCTTTTTGCAAAACAAGACTTTAAAACTGAATGGATCAACATCAGCCAATACTTAATATGAAAGTACTCAGATGGGTATCGGCTGTTAGATGTTAGAAACACTAAGTTACTATAATATATTAATGATATGTGCAAGAGGGAACAGCTGTGAATTTTTGAATCTTAAGGAAAAAAAAAAAAGCAAAACCACCGTTTTGCAGTATAAATAAATGTAACAACTTGTTATGCTGCCTGTCACAGCTGCCTAAAGATGACAGAACAGGTTAAAACAGAAGTTAGGACACCACTGGTGTTGTCCTAAAGGACGGTATTTAGGAAATTTTGTCTAGTTGGGATGTTTCTTTAATACTGTTTTTCTTAGTTTCTTAGATACTCACTATGAAAGTTCTCTAATTGGATTAAATTGACTTAAACTCAGTGCAAAAGTGCTCGAATCAGATTGGATGGCAAAAAAAATGGATTGGGATGTCCCTAGAGTTGGCCTTTGATTCAACCAGTTGTGCTGAAGTGAACTGATTCTTTACTAGCTCTCCGAAAGTGCTACTTTGTGTTCTGTTAATACAGTGAAGCACTAATGTGCACGTGTGTGTGTTTGTGTGTGCTCACAGCCCCCAGTGAGAGAGGGTCCGGTGACACGCAGTGCAAGCCGTGCTGCCTCCCTTCACTCCCTCTCAGATGCGTCTTCAGACTCATTCAACCACTCACCAGGTAACTCTTTGTCTCTCACCAGGTAACTCTCTCTCTCTCAGGCACACACTCACGCACACAGAGCTGAAGCTGAATTTCCAGAACTGTCTGCAGCCAGCTGACAGTGTGTAAACTGCTTTGACCTAAAGCAGTGTTATGTGGCCTTATGCTGTACGTTAAGAAAACAAATACTGGCATGAAAAATCCGTTCTTGTACATGAACACATTCATATATGCGTACACATACATACATACCTACATACATACATACATACACGCACAGGGCAGGAAGAACCTCGGTTTTAGGTGACACGTTTTTCTGCCCTGGTGTCTGAGTCACTGTTTTAAGTCGAATATATATTACATATACAGTGACCTCCACCAATATTGGCACCCCTGGTAAACATAAGCAACACAGGCTGGAAAAAACATTCTTGATTATCTTTTTGATCATTCATTAAAAATATTAACAAAAACTTAACTTTTTTTGAAGTACACTGATCGAAAAAAACCCAAGTCTTATCAGGAAATAAATATTGTTCTCAAGTCTGTGTGTGCCACAATTATTGGCACCCCTTCATTTAATATTTTGTGCCACCTCCTTTTGCAAAGATAACAGCTCTGAGTCTTCTTCTATAATGCTTAATGAGACTAGAGAACACAATGGCAAAGGATCTGAGACCATTCCTCCATACAGAACCTCTCCAGATCCTTCAGATTCCTAGGTCCATGCTTGTGGACTCTCCTTTTCAGTTAATCCCACAGGCTTTCTATGGGGTTTAGGTCAGGGGGCTGGGTTGGCCATGACAAAACCTTAATTCTCAGGTCAGTGAACCATTTTTTGTGTTGATTTTGAGGCATGCTTTGGGTCGTTGTCTTGCTCGAAGATCTAAACTATGGCCCAGTTTAAACTCCCTGACAGAGGCAGTCAGGTTTTGATTTTATTTCCTGTCCAGGGCCTTTGGAAGAAAAGCACCCCCACAGCATCACAGATCCACCACTATACTTACCATTGGGGATGAGATACTCATGGCTGTCTTGGTGTCCACGTTAAACTCCTCTCTAGTGGTTGCTGCCAAAAATCTGTTTTGATCTGACCAAAATTTTTTCTGATAATCATCTGACCATAGAACATGGTCGCACTGAAAATTATAGTAACATTTGGCAAACTGTAGGAGCTTGAGTTTGTTGGTCCTTGACAGCAGAGGTTTTCTTCTGGCAACGCCCCCCCCCCAAAACAACTTATACTTACTGTTATATAGGTGGTGTTTGATTTGGCAGACGTTGTGACCCCAAGACCTAACTAATGTCTGCAGTTCCCCATCTGTGATGCTTGGTGATATTTTTGTCTACTTGAACCATCCTTCTCACTGTGCATGTGGTCAGTATAGACATACGTCCTCTTCCTGCTTCTTAATTGTTGACATGATAGTGAAAATGGGCATTTTCAACCGTTTAGCTATTTTCTTTTAGCCATTTCCTGATTTGTGCAGCTCAACAACCTTTTGTCACTCATCATTGCTGTTTTCTCTGGTGTTTCTCATAGTGATGGATGACCGAGGGAATCTGGTCTATGTTTTATCTCGTATATATTCTGCAGTGAATCAGGAAGTCATGGCCGACCATTTAAGTGTTCCTAATCGCTCAGGTGAACTTTAAAACATAAAATATTAATGGAAATATGCTTCAGTTACATTTTATTCTTAAGAATTACTAGGGGTGCCAATAATTCATTGACCATTGATTTATAATGATTGTTGTGTGCAACTGTATTAGGGTAGTTAGATTTGAATTGAAGGGCTGCCAATACTATCATGCATTTCTCTCTTTCTCTCTCTCTCTCTCTCTCTCTCTCTCTCTCTCTCTCTCTCTCTCTCTCTCTCTCTCTTTCTCTCTCTCTTTCTCTCTTTCCCTCCCTCTGTGTAGAGTCTGTGGACACTAAACTGAACTTCAGCAGTCTGTTGTCGATGTATCAGGAAGGTACAGGCAGTCCAGACTCCAGCGAGGACGACACCTCCCGGCTCTCAATGCTGCCCCACCTGGCTGACCTGGTCAGCTACAGCATTCAGAAAGTCATCGGCTTCGCCAAGATGATCCCCGGCTTCAGGTGTGGGGGCTGCCTGTCTTTGTGTGCTTGTTTATCTGTTAGATCTATTTGCTCATGCGGTAAAAAAAGGTGTGAGTGTGAAAGAGTCACATAGCTAGCAAGCTTAGGTTTTGTTTTTGTTTTTTAAGAACGAGTGGGGATCTTTTTAAAGGTAAAAAATTGGAAAACGGCACCAACATGTCTTTGCGGTCCGTGTACCTTTCGTTTATTGGTTTTCCGTTTCTAATACTGCAGTAGAAAAATGGAGAACGATTCATTTCCCTGTTTTGAATTTTATCAAAACACCAGACAATGCAGACTGTATTTGTTTTTTTTTCTATTTTTCCAATGCATCAAAACACATATGCTGGGAATATTAGAATCTGACATATTTTGATTTTAGTTCACTATATATTGATATTTTCTTACTTCATACCTAACAGGAAGTTAATAAAACTAAAGCTAAACTGGCTCTAGAACAGAAGCTGGATGTACGGTTTCTTCTCAAGCCATAATGTGTGCAGAACTTCCTTAAATTAGCCCCAGAACACCCTCTCAGGACACCCATGTGCATAGAAATCTCACCATATGTTGCCCCGTCCTTGATCATAGTTTTAATTAAATTATGACATGGTCAAGTATTCTCATACTCATGCACTCCTTCTCTCTTTTTTTGTCAGTGCTTGCTCATGTCTAATTTCCATAAATAACACATCTGGAAGGAGTGTTTTAGGCAAATGTTGAAACTGCTCCATGCATTAGATAAAAAATAAACAAGCGTCATTACAGTTCATTTGAGTAGGCAAGTGGAGAATCACGGTCATTACATTTCATTCAGGTAAATGGATTCAGATTTCAAAAGGTACTCTGCTGTACACTGGATGAGAGATGCAGCATGCCGGCAGAGCCACAGGTAGCAGGTAGTACAAAGAGCAGCTAAAGCACACAGCAAGTGTCGCAAGAAAGCACCGATAGACGACAAGCACAAAGCTCATTTTATGCTGTACTTATACATATTGTAAAATAATGTAATTTAGTGAGTTTATCAAGTTTTGGCATCAGCTAACAAACTCGCTGCGTTCCATCTAAAAGGTATTGGGTGAAGTATGATGTGACTGGGCTAGTAGCATTAGCTGAGTTGAAAACGTGAGTGTATGTCATGAAGACATTAGATTGTCTGCATTTCTCAGTGTAAATTGTGAGCCACATCGCTGACTATGGATTTGTGCTCCGTGGTTTAATATAGTACAACAATAGTAAGATGCTGACTGGTGTCACTGTCTCTGGAGGTGACATATCAGGTGTGCTGTGGCCTGTAGCCTATAGGAGTTACTGAATATAGTAGATAATGAGTGATTAATATTAGTTACTGTATAATTAATTGTAGGTAGTGGCCTCTGAATAATTCGTAGGGGTTAATGCATAATTTTTAGTAGATACTGAATAATTCATAGTATATACTGACATTCTTAGTAGATGCTGGGATTCATAGTACTTACTGAAAAATTCACAGGAGATACTGAATAGTTCATAGAGTCACCAAAAAATTCATAGTGGATACGGACTAATCTATTCTAATTCTTAAGATTCAGAGCTGAGTAATGAGCGCAAGTTCAAGGGCTTTAAAAAGCTCATGAGCGTGGTGCGCGTGTGTGAGAGAGAATGAGAAATAGAATGCCCCCTCGGCCGCCTCAGCACTGGCTGGTGTGTTATTGCCGTCGTTGTGACCCGTGTGAGCCGGCTTGTGTTGGAGCCAGATGTCTTTTGATCATTAATAGGAAAGAAGAGAACAGCATGTTTATCTAGTTTTTACCACATTAGTGCCACCTACAAATAAATATGGATATTCATATGGAGCAGAAACTAAATACAAAATAATTCTGAAAAGGTTATGCGTGTGTGTGGTGTTGCTAAAGTGTCCAGTTGTCTGGGTAACCATAGAAGGTTCTGTACATCCTGTCCCTGTGAAGAGGAAAAACAAGATTGACGTAAAGCACCCCCCATGCCCACACATACACACACCAGTTCTCTTATTAACATCCACAGGTCTTTTAAGATGACGTGGAAGCACATGGATTTCTGAGACTTTTATTAATGTTCAAAGGACACAGGCACAGGCTTGATGCACTCACCCCTACGTTTATGATCATTCTTCATACATGCACACGCTGTATGCGCACACTCATACACTCACACACACACATGCACACACATCCTGACCTCCCCAGAGTTTTTTTCTGAGGAAAACCAATTGGGTGCACAGTCCAGAAGACAGTGTTGTACATTGAAGGTTCAGGGGTGAATTGCTCTAGAGATAAATTTCTGATACAGTCTAAAAGAATGAAATATGACTTGTTTTATGGCTTATTTACATGCAGATGTGTGTGTGTCTACATATCCAGTGCTGTGCAAAAGTCTTAGGCCATCTGAGTAAATGAGACGTTAAGCCTTATAGGTGGACAGCAAGCATTTTAAGAGTTTCATTCCAAAATGCTGTAAAATGGAAGCCACTTTTTGGTGGTATTAATCACAATATAGCACTGATATTTCTTGTGTGTGTAAAGCCCACTCTTAACAGCATATGTCATGGAAAAATAAGGAAAATTCTTGAAAGTGGTCCATGATGTGTTTTGGAACTAAACCCATCATTTGTTATTTGTTCAAAGAAAACACTAACATTAGAGTAAATACAAATATAATTTGATGTGTCTCAGTGTGTTGGGTGATTCCACATTTGGGGTGCCATTTGGCCCTTGTAAGTCTTATATATAAAAAATAAAACCATTTTTTATAAATTTCAACAATCTTAGAAAACATGTATGTAACCCTTTAAAATTGTGTTAACCAATCTCAGGAACTATATCTCATTTTACAAGATTTCTTTGCTGTCATTGGCTTCAGTGAGTAACGTTAATGGCATGAGGACATTAAGGACAGTCTAATGATTTACTCAAAATGTATTTTAATGAATCTTTTATTTTCAGTCTTCAACTTGGGTAAAAGAGTTGTATTTCCAAAGTGGCCTCATCAGTCAGCATCACAATATCATTGAAAATAAAAAATTTCATAGGGGTCAATGTGTTCAGGTAATAGGGTTGAGTGAGTTGTGGGACACTAAAATGTACTTTTCCACAACATAGATGACTCATGACAAAAGGATGTTTAAAGAACATGAGATGTTAAATGAGTGCAAAAAAATATGATTTTTAAATATTTTAGTGATGATATTTGAAGGTAAATTGCAGTTATAGTGGTTTGGGACAGGAAAAAAGACTGTTTTCTAAGTGTTGTAGACTTCAGTTTAATCTGAAACATGCACATAGGTTGTTGTGAAGGACACTTTATTTATGTTTGAAATGTCTTTTACCTTCACATTTATCTGTAAATGTAACATCAGTGGGACACAGATTTCACCCATTCTAGGACTTGCCCTGTTAGCTTGACTGTTTCCAAAGCTCTCCTCGAGGAAATCCATTATTTACAGTTATCATCCAAATCCATGCAATGGCTGGATTGCACTTACCTGTAATAGAAGACCCGTTGGTTAGGTCTTCAGGAGCTGGACAGAAGCCTTTAAACATTACATTAACCACCAAAATGATTAAGAACAGACAGTGGAATCATGTTTTGATTTATAATGGGTGAGACCATTTCATGAGAGAACAGCACTTTAGGCCTTCTGCTAGGCTGAGATGTCTGACTTCAAACACCAGTGCTAGCCTAACCTTTACTCTTGTCACTGAGAAACTGCAGCGTACATAGTAACATATATGGAATGTATTTTACAGACTTTATACATTTTAACTCTAAAACTAAAAGTTCATGTGCACCATTCTTAGCTTAGCGCTAACACAGCATTAACATTGTTGTAGCAGTGGGTTCCTTTTCGTTTTCTACCGTTTTGACACTTACAGCCCAAACCGAAGGCCTATCTGATATCACAGAAGACTGCAGTGTGCAAGTGAGCCTCTAACTAATGATAGTGTTGTTTACTGTGCGTTGTGAGCATCCTGACCAAAGTATTCATGTAAGCCGAGATAAGTTATTTCGGCCAAAACGCAGGTCATTCTTTAACCAATAACCACATTATTGATTCACCAATGCATTTTATATACAGCAGGTTGAAATCACAGTTGAAATATGTAACAATGTTGTAATACCTAGTATTTCATCTGTATTGTGCACGCTCAGTGTGTAGGTGTGTTCATCGCCGAGCAGTGTGACTCATAGGTCTCAGTTTATGGTCGGCAGGTGAATGGAGTTTTTAGAAGCTGCTGGAAGTGTCTCTGCCACATAATTGATTCGTTCCCAATAGTGCGTAAGTGGCCCAGTGGGACATGAAGAACAGAAAACATCTTTCATCAGACTGCACAGCTTGTATTCATTTCCCCTTGTTCTTTCTGGTCCTTAATTACACAATTGTCTTTTATTCGCAGTGACAGTTTTGGAAAGATTTTCTTAATAAACAAGTGATGATGCAGTAAGCATCCCAGCTTAAATGGTGCGCTGTTTTCTCTCTGTCTCTCTCTCAGGGAGCTGACTGCAGAGGATCAGATAGCTCTACTGAAGTCCAGCGCTATAGAGATCATTATGCTGCGCTCTAATCAGTCCTTCAGTTTGGAGGATATGAGCTGGAGCTGCGGAGGACCCGACTTCAAATACTGCATCAATGATGTGACCAAGGGTGAGACACTGTACACACAGCAAATACTGCATACTAGACATGGAAAAATGCATCTGTGCATTGATCCGAGGACGGAGCGGTTCAACTGATTGTGGAATGTAATAATCAAATTTATTTGATTAAAATAATATTCAGTAGCTCTTATTTTGGCTAAAATTCAAATTTAGGCTCAGGCTATTTTCTGATGTAAAAACAAAATGTATTGCTTTCATTATCTATATTTCACTGCTGTGTAAATAGGTGCTCCAGTCACATTTGTTTAGTCTGTGTATTTTGTTTAAAAATGATTTAGAATTTATCAAAACAATTTTTGAGATTATTTTGGTACAAGAGATTTGCTGTCTGTCGTTTTCTAAAGTATTGCAATTTAATCAAGCTGTTTTGAGTCACTTCTTTTGCATACAAATAATGTGATAAAGGTTGTGTTAAATACATTCATACAGTACTGTGCAAAAGTCAGAGATCACCTTTCATTTGTGTCATTTTTCAGTCAAAATGGCCCACAAGCACAAAATTTTCATTTTGCAACTGATGACTCAAACTCAAACTTTTGTGTCCATTCTTTACCTTTATTACAGCTTCCATTCTTTCAGGAGACTCACTTTCAGCTTTTTAGGGAAATCTGCAGGAATATTTTTCCACACCTCCAAAGTTCAGTCTTAGTAGAAAATGCAACCATCTTCTATCTTCTCACGATTCAAGTAAACCCAAATGCATTCAGTGGTTTTGAGATCTGGGGCCGTATTACAGAAACTTCTCAAGTCTGAAATCTTATCTAATTTATCAATATGACAATTTCAGTTAGGACTGGATTTAGGACAGGAGCTGTTACAGAACAACAGTTCTTAAGTTCATGGTCTCATCCAAAATCCCGATAAGAAACATCTTTACTAGGCTAAATTTCCTAAATTCTGCCCTAGCTTTGACAGTGGTGTCCTAACCTCTGCTTTAACCATCTGTTTCTATCATTTTATGCATTGAAATGCATTTTTTCCAACAGCAATTTAAAAAAATCTCAGTCACCGCAGACACGATCTCCACAGGCCCCTCGTATTACCTTCTTGTGAATGTTGATGAGACAGAGCTGAATGTGTGTCTGTTTATTAGGAGGAATGACGTTAGCGCAGTCGGCTAAAGCATTTGGGAAACTAAAACTGGAATAGGAGAGCAGCAACGCTGTGATAAACAGCACAAAGCGCTGTCACAGTGTTTTTAACTTCAAGTTTATCACGCTTTAGTTCTGTAAGATACTATTCCTAGTTCCTAAAGATTTGCTTCTGTAATATAAATTTGTGAAAAATCTTATCTTGACCTGTTAGATCTTAAGACAAAAGATAGGAAGTTTCTGTAATATGGCCCCTGGGGTGGTCAGGCCATTGTTGTAAGAACACCAGCAGCCTCTTTATTTGATTCGTAAATGTTCTCCTTTGTTGTCTGTTTCCTTTTCTAAGTAAGGGCTTCTTAACACCTACACATTTTTTAGACCTATAGCGTTAAGTTGTCTTCCCATAGTGGAAGGATGGACAGAAACTTCAGATCTAAACCAAGAGTGGAGCTTGATTTTCTCCTCTCTCTTAAACCCGAAAGCTTTAAGTGCTGTTGTGATGGGGTCAGTTTTGGTGGTCCACCAGGTCTTGGACGGCTGTTAGGAGGTTAATTTTCTCTGTATCTTTTAATCATTTTTGAACTTCAGTTTTGATAACTCCTGATTTTTTTTTCTGCTCTGAAATATCTCCTGAAAAATGAAAAGCTTGTACTGAAAGGCCATTTTGATTAGAATATTAAGTAAATGAAGGGTGGTCTGTCATACGTATTAATTCATAAACTGGTTTCACCTCCCTGCAGCTGGTCATACTCTAGAGCTGCTGGAGCCGCTGGTGAAGTTTCAAGTAGGACTGAAAAAGCTCAATCTGCATGAAGAGGAACACGTGCTGCTCATGGCCATCTGCCTCATGTCTCCAGGTGTGTGTGTGTGTGTGTGTTTTAATTGCTGTGTGTTTCTGAGGAAATGAATAGTTCCATACCAGCTCATCTCGAGATGGGGTGATTTTCATGCATTTGCACAAAAAGCTTTGATGCCTCACCTGCTATGTATCTCTCTCTCTCTCTCTCTCTCTCTCTCTCTCTCTCTCTCTCTCTCTCTCTCTCTCTCTCTCTCTCTCTCCCTCTCTCTCCCTCTCTCTCTCGCTCTCTCTTTCTCTTTCTAACTCTCATTTCTCCCCCCCTCCTTTATTTCTGTCCTTTTCTGTCTTTGTCTCCCTCTTTTTTAAATCCTTTTTACCTTTATTTCTCTCTCTTTCTCTTTCTCTCCGATTTCTTTCCTCCTGCCCTTTTTTTTCTTTCTCTCTCATTTCTTTTCCACTGGTCTCGCTCTTTCCCTTTTATTTCTCTCTTTGTCTTTGTCTCTTTTTTTCTCCTTTATCACTTCCTTCTCACTGCTCTCACTCTTTCTCTTTTTCTCTTTCTTTTTGTCTTTTTGTCTCTATCTTTCTCTCTCATTTCTTTCTTACCTGGTCTCTCTCTCTCTCTCTATATATATATATATATATATATATATATATATATATATATATATATATATATATATATATATATACACACACACCTCTCTCTTTCTCTTTTTCTCTCTTGCTCTATCAGACCGGCAGGGTGTTCAGGACCATGCCCGCATCGAGGCCCTGCAGGACCGCCTCTGCGAGACTCTTCAGGCCTATATCCGCATCAATCACCCTGGCGGTCGGCTGCTCTACGCTAAGATGATCCAGAAGCTGGCGGACCTGCGCAGCCTGAACGAGGAGCACTCCAAGCAGTACCGCTTGCTCTCCTTCCAGCCCGAGCACAGCATGCAGCTCACGCCACTCGTGCTCGAGGTGTTCGGCAGTGAGGTCTCCTAGCGCCTGGGGCGGCCCCTCGCAGTCCCCCGCCCAGCCCCTCGCCATGGCAACAGCACCGCCCGGGACGCCACACACACATCCAGCAGCAGAGGCCCTGTGCAGGGCACCAGTGTGTCAGGGGATGGAGAATGATTACGGGGGACTGTAGGGGTGGGTGTGTGTGTTTGTGGGTGAGTGTGTGTGTTGGCGTGATAGCGTGCGTGAGGGGAGGGAGGGCGATCATGTTTGTAAGTCCGGAGAAGGGTCATGGGCATGCTTTTAGAATTCCCTTTTCTGAGCTAAAGGGAATATTAAAAAAGAATGTACTTATAAATATAAGAATAGAACTATAAATATAAGCTAATATCTATATTTAAGAGAGATGGTTTCTACTAAAACTTAAGCATATGGCTGGGTTATCCTCTGTTGTAAAATAGGATTAGCAAGCCCCTTTTGGATTGTGTTTGTGTGTGTGTGTGTGCGCGTGTATGGCGAGACGTTTAGAGATGTGTGTTTGTGTGTATTATGAAAGGACACTAACAGACGTGCACACACACTGAATGAAGTGCAAGGGGGCTTTCTATTTTTGATGTCTGTATAGATAGGATATTTAATGACCACAAGAGAGTGAGCCAACAAGAATGTGACTGAATCCCAAGACCTGAAATTGAATATGCTAACACTAAGCCTAGCCTAACAGGCTAATTATAATTACCTCTAACGACAAGTGTAGGATCTGTTACAGTTGGAAAAGGCCCAGTTTTTACATCTAATTCTAGAATATCAGTCTGTACTGATAGGTGCAAAAGTGCCAAAAGATTATATAGCTGCCATGTTTCACAAATCAGTATGTATCTTTTTACTGATGGCTAAAACTGATAAGATGTGCATCTCAGAGGTTTTGCTTGTGAATGAGGCAGAATCACTTCTGTTTGTCAGTATGCAGTCTTGTGCAAAAGTCAGAGACCACTCTTCATTCTTTTCATTTCCAGTCAAAATAGCAATTAAGGACAAATGATTCATTTTTCAGCATCAGAGGAAAAAAGGAATCATTAACAGCTAATTATATTACATTATTTTAGTATTTAGTGTGTCCACTCTGCCTTTATTACAACCTCCGTTTTTTTCAGAAGAATTGCTCTCAGTTTTTCAAAGAAATCTGCAGGGATATTTTTTCACACCTCCAAAGTTCAGTCTTAGAAGTTGATTGTATTTTCTGCTTCTCTCTATAAGTAATCCAAAACACATTCGATGGGGTGGTCAGTCCATTCTTTATTCATGTAATTTTTATATATGTGTTTTAATAACAGTTTCATATATTTTTTTAAATTTTAGTTTTGGAAACACCTGTTTTTTTTTCCACTTATTTTCCTTTGACTTTCCCCTTCCTTAGTGCAAATGATTATCTTATATCTAATATCCTCAGAAATATCTCCTAAAAAAGAAAACCTTGCACTTAATGCCCATTTTGGCTGAAAAGTAAATAAATGAGAGGTGATTTCTAATTTTTGCACAATATCCTGTTCCAATCTCCCATAGCACATTATGTGCTGCCCACCATTCGACTGTCAGTATTAGGATATAAACAAAGGAATAATGTATTATTAGTGCAGCAAACAGAGTAATTCACGGTAATTTCTGAGATTGGGGCAGGCAATTACATAAAGCAGTTCCAGTTTTGTGCTGCTCTCTTGTGGTCGTACATTGTAAATACCACTTTTATTATTTCTGTACATATTAAGTCTAATGAAAAACGACAACGTAGGCAAGTACTAAGATAACTAATCAGTTCAGAAAAAGCTTGGGAGAAATATGCAAATATGATTTTTTTTTTTTTTTTCCTATGGTTTGGTCTCTTTTCTCTGAGGTGACAATAAGCTTTGACAACTTTTATCTATCCATGATATTAGGTGCGAATTGATCATTTAATATTACTTTTATTGTTATTATCTTTATTATTATGATATAGTTTTGTATGGATTTGGATATTGTGTTCCAGATGTCCTGCATCGGTGCATCGGAAACCTTTTTTTTTTTTCTCTCTTCTTTTTTGCAAATCAATGAGACATCTCAAACCAGACTCTTGCTGCTGTGCAAAGCCTTGCTAGAACTTTATGACTGGGGAAGAAGCAGAAACATCACTGAACACATGGTGTTTCTGTTCTGACCATAAACGCTGCCTCAAACAATCCAATCAAGGGGAAGAGATCCCTCATATATCTATAGTTACACCCATGCGCCTCCTGTTACGCCAATACTTCTGCCGTAATACCGTAGCCTCATGTGCGAGACTCTACAAAGCTTTAAATGGCTGTGGAAGAACGGAAATCGGAGGACGGACAGATGGTGTCTGGCTGCTAGAGGACGGAGCTGCAATGTTTTTTGAGCTCCTGTTTGAAATCTCTTTGTGTTAAAAAAAAAAGAAAAAATGCTTCATAGGTTAGAAAAGCTAGAAAGAGCTAGAATGTTCTGCAACCATACAAGAAGTTGGAGGAACAGACATACGTGTCTGGACGAATGTCCGCAGGTGGCCCACGCGGTTGTGAAGGGGGCTTTTAAGAGATAGACTCTGACACTCAAGTTGCTTGCTCTCTTGCTGGCTTGCCTGACTAACTGGACAGAGTCATGGGATGTCAGCGCCACCAAGTGGACATTGGATTAACCTACAATTACTGTGTATATTATACTAGCTATGATCAGCTTCTTTTGGATTATTTCTAATAGCTAAGGAGCATAAGCTTTGTCATCCACAGCTGTGAAAGGATACACAGAGATGGCAGTTGTCTCTACAAAACGAACTTATTTCCCCTCTTCAGACCCAGGTCAGCGTCGTTGCCTCCGTAGCCTTACAAGAACTTCAACTCGGAACAGCCGACTCAGTGCAACTGGATAACTCTCAAGAAACTCAACAAGGGAAACAAAAGATAGTCTCACGTACGGATTACACACACACACATACACTCATACACATTTATCAGGACTATCTCCACCATGGTTTCAGCAGGGAAGAGTTCAGCAATTTTGGCCCCAGAGGGACTCTTTGGCCTCAGCCAAGCTAACTAAGGAAGGACCCAAACGTATTTGGCACAGAAAGGTTCCCTCCATTTGGTCTCATTGCATTTTGGCTGCAGCGAGGTCAATGGTGAGGTACCAGGAATTGGAAACAGAATAGGGCTTCTAGCACAGAGGTCCCTTTTTATCAGTGCTTCAGTATTTCGAGATGGGGAAACTTCTTTGTGATGCTGAGGAAGACCTTGTGTACGCTATTCATTTCTGAATCGTTGTGAGCTTGCGAAAAAGGGTTATTGTTTGTTCTGAATGATTTGCTTCTACATCTATGCGATATCAAGGTTGGTTATAATATGAGCAAGGTGGGGCTAGGAACAGAGCAGCTAAAATTCAGGAAGGTTTGGCTTTGGGATTTCAGCACAACTGTACATTTTGCTGGGCAATTATCAGGATTACATCATAATCTTCTTTGGGGATGCAAATTTTGGCATCTTTTAACCGATAACCAACTGTCGGTTAGTCTGTGATTAACCGTTAACCGGCACGTCTAAAATCAGGGACGTAACCTTAAAACTGATTGCTGCCGATCTAAAGTCTAATTGGCTGAAGCGGTAGTTCAGAGCTATTGTAAAATACCTGACATATGCGCTGTTACGAGTGCACATATTAACCAAACTCTTTACCAGTGCTCCGAGATGTTCAAAAGTGTTCCTTCATTGGACCCTGGAGCACAGTATTGATTGGTGGAACAGCCCTGTGTTTTTAATTGTGTGCAAATACTGAAAGGTTGATGAAATGACTGGAATATAATGATTGGGCTACTGAAGGTTCTATCTTCTAACTTTCTGAAGTCTTGTTTACCTGGTTAGAATGACCATAAATGCCATGACCAAAGCTAGCTTTGGCTCAGTGTACCTCAGTAGCTCTCGAAAGCCGTCGCCGTCCACTACGTCCTTGTCTGTACTTTTACACATCCGTGTGATTTCCTCACACCGCCATACATCACACTTTCTCTGTGAGAACATACTCCAAATAGTCTGTCTTATTGCTGTTTGCTTTGGATATTGTACGTTGTACGTTGTATTTGCTGTCGTCCTCTCGTAAAGTGGTCCCGGACACCACTGTTTTTTAGATATGAGCTTCATTTTTGGTAGGCCTATCTAGCAAAACCAGCTGCCTATTGCGCCCTTGTGCGCACAACTCAAAACTGTTCCTCCACTTGAATGATAAACTGTCGGAAAAAGCATTGGACGAACAGTTGTTTATTTGTCTGTTAACGGTTAATCGGTTAATCATTTACATCCCTAATCTTCTTTGAATACACCTAGCAAAGGACAAAGCTACAGACTAGCCCCGCCATGGCCACACTCTTAGGCTGAGTAGGGCATGTGCTCCAAACCTTGTTAGAAAAGAAATCTAGACTTAGTTGGGTTCAACTTCTAGAATTTTCATTCAGGCAGGCCCAGCTGGCTAGGTTTGGTCGAAATATGTTGGCCTGGGCTTCAAGCTCATGTGTGATTATTTTGTAAGAGCAGATGAGCAGAGCAGAACCTCATATGACTCTGAAAGCTGATTGTGTAAGGAGACACACACCGACAGGTGCCGTTGTTAACCAAAATGAACTACCTCTCCCATCCGCACATGTATTCAGTACACGATTGTGTTTCATCAGTTTTTTTTTGTTTTGTTTTGTTTTGTTTTTTTAATTTAAAAGAAAAAAACACACACACACACACACAAACACACACATACACTAGTTCTTTCTCTTATTTATTCCTCCAACTCAAATGCTGGACTATTTACCTCAAGACATCTGCATAATAAGCCTACAGTTCAGAGGGTGCTCTGTCTCTTGCCAGGCGGCTAAACCCCGTTTCTTTACGTGCTGTGTGCAGTGTGACTGTGCAAACAGTGTTGGTTGCAGCATGATTTTGGTAGCCCATTAGCCTGGTGAGATGTTCCACTAGACTGAAAGCTATTTTCTGCCAGTATTAGCTTGCTCTCTTGCCAACTAGCAAAGCATTGACAACCAAGTTGGATAATTCCATGCTATGCTAATCGAGGTACATTTTTGCAGACTGTGTCTTTCTGCTGTGGGGTTTTGTCCGACACGCTTTGCTTGGTTCGTGAGCGGTTGGCTACATTTGTGTAGAGTGTCTTTGGTGTTGCATTGCAGCTTTTTGGCGAAGGGTCTAAGAGCTTGCTTTGAATCTCCTGCTGCACAGACAGCTGCTGCTCTTCTCTCTTTCTGTCCGTTCTCTCTTTCTCTCTGATCATTGCTCTCTCTGTTATATGAGACAGACATTGCCCTCTACCTTCAATTGTACAGTCAGGCAAAAGAACAAAAATGGCCCCAAAAAAGGATGTTTCAAACTTATCGTGGACTCGCACCTCAAATCAACCAAACACAGTCTGATTGTATTTCATTATTCATTTTCTCATCTTGTTGGTGGATGACAAATGAGCTCAGTTATCTATCCAGATTCATTCAGTTGTCTAGGCATTGCTGGCGTCCTGTCTGGAGGCTTCCTTGCTGCTTCAATCCTCCTGTGCTACCTCCTCACAAACTGGTTTACACATGCTCACACACACAAACACACACACAGTCATATACCATCCACCAGCAGTCTTGCCTGTAATCTGTTCATTTTTATGGGTCTCATCTGTCATAGAATTGTATTATTATTATTATTATTATTATTATTATTATCTTTTGTCAGATTGAATCTGCACCTGACCGGGAAAATAGTCAGTGCTTTGCAAGATTCATTCATTCATCCACATGCTAGCTCAGTTACAGTACCTCTGTGTGCCTAAAACCCAAAGCCTTATTTTGGGAGAGTGTCAGGGTTCAGCTGTTTAGTTTTAATGCAGAAGTGCAGCCCAAGTCTAAGTGGTTCTGCCAAACATTTATTTTTTAGCCTGCACTCCACATCCGAGACTGAAACAATCTAGAGTCAATGGGTCATTCTCACGAAACAGCCTCAAACCATGTCCATAAATATAGAGTGTAATAATTATTATGTAGGTAAACACTATTCAGTACTGAGTACTGAGTGGACCGTG